AGTATAAATATTTTTGTGCTAATCTGTACCTATTCTTATTTCAGGAAGGAAAGGAGGGAAGCCATGGAATTGAACACTGGCTATAAAACAGAAATCTACTTCACATCATATAGGCCCTTCATGTAGGCTATGCCAAAGGCAGACTAAACAGATACCTTTGCCAAGCACAGGACAAACAGAAACCCTATGACTAAGAGAATTCTTATTGCTTCTGATTATAAGTGGAAAACTTCCACTGATATTTAGTAACTTTGCTCTAAGTGAATGTGGAATGGTGAGGTAAAAAAGCAGAGGTTGCGAAATAACAGAGCCAGAGTTGGAAACCAGCCTAACTACCTGTAGGCAGGCTATTTAATTTCTCTAAACTACAGTTTCCTCACCTATAAAATGGGAATCAGAATTACTATGAGATCACCAATATGAATGTATTTCATGAATTGTAAAAGATTATACAAATGATCTTACTTTATTGATTTTTTTTGTTTCATAGAGCAATTATATGTTTGTTTGTTTGTTTTTTGGTACCAGGGATCAAACTCGGGTCCTTGTGCTTGTGAGGTAGGCGCTGGAACCACTGAGCAAAATCCCCGGCCTTATATGTTAATTTTTAAAATTAGAAAATACAGAAAGTATTGAAAAGAAAAAAATCACTCACAGGCCTATTACTCATTGTTACTATTTATTTTAACTAAATAAATCAAACAACCAAAAGCAAAACTGATTTCAAATGTTAATATAGATAATGACAAGTGACAAAATTAATTAATGATCACTTTTTAAAGAGTAGAGCTGCCAGGCAAGGCAGAATGCACACCTGTAATCCCAGCAGTTCGGAAGGCTAAGGCAGGAGGATCACAAATTTAAAGACAGTGTGGGGCAACTTAGCAAGATACTATGTCAAATTAAAAAGTAAAAAAAGGGGTACAGATGTGACCCAGTACAAAATCCCTGGGTAAATCCGCAGTCGCAGTCGCAGTCACACACACACACACACACACACACACACACGCACGCACACACACACACACATGCACAGACGCACAAGGTAGGCAAAGCTGCCTGTCCCATCTATGCGAAGACAATGCTACTATCTGTCCCAAAATTGGTCCTCAAGAGCATATGATATACAGGAGAGGCCCATAAAAGTCAAGGCCACAAAAACTCCCAAAATAAATATTTCGTGAGTCCAAGAAGTAGTTACAACACACGCCTTCAGATGCAATGAGAATGGCAAATTATCTGAAGTCCTGTTAATAAAACTGACACAGTTTTGATCACATCAGTAATGATCACATCAAAGACTGCTAGTTTGGAAAACAAAAGAAAAATCTATAGACCATGCTACAAGACAAGAGTCTAAGACATCTGACTTCTTTGCATTGCTTAAGGAATCCTATCCTTCTTAGATGCTCTCTATTTCTCATTTCCCACCCTTCCCTTTCCTACTTCCTCTCTCTAGCTTTATCGAATTGAACTTGCTCTGTGTGTAAAACAGCCTTATTCTATACAATGGGATATTATTCAATAATAAAAAAAAAAAAATTCTGATAAATACTATACCATAAAAGAACCCTAAAAGCATTAAGTAAAAGAAGCCAGGCACAAGGACTACAGTGTATGATTCCCTTATATGAAATGTCCAGCAAAAGCAAATCCAAAGAAACAGAAGCTAGACTGGTAGTTGCTAGAGAGACAGAGGTGGGGGAAAGGAGAGACTGCTAATGGACATGGTTTCTTTGGGGGGGTCAATAACGCTCCAACATTAGATTGTCATGATGGATGCACAACCCTGTAAATACACCGAAAACCAGTGAATTGCACAATTTAAATGGTTGAACTATATAGTATGTGAAGTGTATCTCAACACACCTATTCCAAAAATGGTCTTATTCAGGATTCTCAGAAGAAAAAAAGGATATGTAAGTAAATATTCTCATTCTGTCCCCTTCCTAAGTGTGGAAAAAGTGATCTACATACACAAATATGCTATGGTAGGTAGGTGTGTGTGTGTGTGTGTATAAAAGCATATATATATATATATATATATATATGCTTTTATATGTATGCACATATGTTGTGATATATATAAGTACTTGAGATATGTAGTGTTTTGCTTTTATATGAACTTATAAATCTAAATGAGTCCTGCCTACCCAAAAGCAGTCATTTGGGGGGGGTGCAGGGGCTCAAACTCAGGACCTTGAGCTTGCAAGACAAGCGGCAACACCCTTGAGATAAATCCCTGGCTCAGCAGTTATCTTTCTGATGCTCTAAGTTAAAATTTGGTCCTCAGATTCCTTGGGTCCTCAAATTCCCAAAAAGAAGCATTGGAATAAGGATATAGTCTCCCAAGATAACTCCAAGAAATAATCAAATTATATAAATTCCAGAATATTTGCTCAAAAATCAGTTTATTTATAGTAATACTGTATGTTTCCTCCAAACTCAGAGTTCTATAATTGAGTTCTATTATTTCTTCTAATAAATATCTATTACTTCTTTCATTTTTTCCCCTACAAAATCCAAAGTTCAGCCCTTTATTGCTTTCATAACTAACCAATTTTCGAAGTTTTCTAATCTACATTTCCACAGTTTCTTTTCCTTTAACAATACTCATCAAGCTTTCTGCATGCCAATATTAAGGATAGGAACTGGGGGGCATATAAAATATCATCCATGCATAGTAGCACATGCTTTGATCCCACCCAAGCAAGAGACTGAGGAAGGAGGATCACAAGTTCAAGGCCAGCTTGGGCAACTTAGTGAGACTGTCTCAATAAAAATGAGTGGGGATGTAACTCAGGGGTAATTAATTCCCTTGGATTCCCCAACACCACAAAAAAAAATCAGACAAGATCTGTTTTCTAGACACAGTTTAGTTAGGAATTTGAGATATTTTCAAGATCCATACAGTTAAAAGACCCAATTGACACTCAGAATTCAAAGCAATGATTAGGTCCTCAGATCACAACCCACAGGGTCTTCTTCACCCACCATTCCCGTCCTCCCCCCCAACTCTTTGTTCATCTTGATTTGTTGGATAAGCCTTCGTTAAACTGCCCAGATGTCACTCACTGACTTCATCTCCAATTTCTCTCCCACTTGCCTCCTGAGCTGCAATCAAGACAACCTACTTACTGAAACCTGGAAGTGACTTACAAATACCTTTGTTCAGGACTTTCAGCACAAGTTCTTCCCACCTTTTCTCTCTGTCACTCATATCTACCACCAATCTCCAATCCCTTCTTTTGTATGTGTTGGGAAGTATCTTATCTACGTGTAATTTTTTTCAGCTTATGACTGGCCTTATTTCTATTTGTTTCAGTGTCCACTACAGTGTTTTCCATGTAAGGCTGTATATTACAATCACCTATGGAGCTTCTTAAAGATATTGAGGCCTTGATCCTCCCCCTGGAGAACTGTCACAAAGTCTAGGAAGGATGCTAGACATCTTTATACCTAAAAAGCCCCACCAGTGATTCTTATGCACACCCTTAAACTGAGAACCACTGATGTATTACAGTGCTCTTTAGAAAGCAGCCATTCAATGCTTATTAATTCATGGCATGGAATCTCATAAATAACTTTTCTCTAAATAGCCTAACCAGATATCAACCCCTTGACTACACTAGCTCTATTCCAAGTGCAACATGTGGTTTTAAGATTTCATTTCCTGAAGTGCTGCACAGAGGATCACTATTACCTTGTCTCTTTACATTGTTTCCCCTTTGGTGAAAAATGGAGGCCTGGAATGCAGCCATGTTAGACAACACTCCATAAGAATGTAGTCTGGAGTCTTAGATTAAGATTAACCATAAAGAGAACAACAATGTAGAAGTCGAATACAGTATTCTTATTGAATACATTCTTACTAAAACTGTATAAAAGGAGGATCAGGAATTTGGTCTGTGGCTTCTCCCTGTTTTCCTAGCACCAATCTCTTGCACCGCTTAAGAAGGCCCCACCCCCACCCCAAAACCGGGGAAGACTTTTTCAGCTGCTTAAGTGCCACTTTGTGCACCGTTGTGCACCAGAGCGCTGCAATCGGATAAGTAATCCAAGCCCCACCCAGACCCACAGTTACCTCCCAACTACCCTGACACACCGTGAGGCTCAGTGAGGGAGCACTATAAACTTTTTCCAAGACTTGCTGCTCATAGGCAGCAGCAGTCTGAGTCACCGACCCAGAGTGGGACATTAAGTGTGACATTAGCCAGGGGAGTGTTAGGCGGTTCTCAGCACCTTTTATTTTAGAAGTGGACTCCACCGCCTCCAGAAATTACCTCAATCAGCAGTCACAGCCCTTAACTACACGGGTCTGGAACTACCAGCCACCAAGAAAAGGGGATCAGACAGGAGACGCCACCGTCTCTCAGATCCCACAGGCCTCTCCCAGCAGCTCCATCTTGCTTCCTGCCAGGAGGAGGTGCAGGAGGAGGAGGCACCCCTGGTCGGGAAAGGTTCCTGTGGGAGGAAGCCGAATGACAGAGGTAAAGCCAGGTGGAAAGCACCACAGCAGGCAATAACATACCAGGTAGCAAAAGGAAAAATGGGGCTCCTGGTCCTGAATTACTGGGTAAAGGTGTTTGAGTGCCTAGGTGAAAACAGAAGTAAAATGCCCTGGAGGGAAGGAGGTGGCCCGCGACCGGTGCGACCAGTGCTCCGTAAAATAGGTAGGAAAAAGGGGGTTGAACCCAAGAAGTTCTAGAACGGGTGGGTGGGCGAGCCAGGTCGCGGCGGCGGGGGAAGGACAGCAGCGTGGCTCGAAGAATCCTAGGAAGGAAAGCCTGGGAATCCATAAAAGAACCGCCCACACACAGGCCAGCCTGGGGAGCCCTAAAAAGGAGCTGGAAGCAAGGTAGTTCACGAGGGACCACAGCCCGCCCAGGAAAGGGGCCCATCAGACCGCCGCACGACTAGCATTTATTCGGAGCTGACTCCGGGCATTTGCAACGCCGGACGTCTCCCTAGGCTCCCCTGGCTGAGTCTTCACAACGTACCCGCAAGGCAGCCTTTTTCACGACTGCCCCATTTTCTAGATGAGGAGACTGAGGCCCTGCGAGTCTCGCGGGGGGCTTGCTCAAGGTCACAGAGCAGGGAGTCGGCGTCCCACCCGCAGAATCTGGCGCTCGACCCCACGAAGGAGCGAAGCC